CTGATGAAAGGAGATGGGGATAAGAATCATAAGATTCAATAGTGAATAACTGTTATCATGACTAATCGCGACTTTACATCTCAATGTAAAGAAAATAAAAATCCTCATCAGTGAACTGATAAATAATATCATGATAAATGGAGACAATATTGAAGTTGTCAAGGGCTTCATTTTGCTTGGATTCACTATCACCACTCAAGGAAACAGCAGTCAAGAAATTAAATGATGTATTAGGCAAATCTACTGCACAAGAACTTTCTTTAACGTGTTCAAAAGCCAAAATGTAAGTTTGAGGATAAAGGCGTGCCTGACCCAAGTCATGGTATTTTTTAATAACTTCACATGCATGTGAAAGTTGGACAGTGAATGAAGCAGACTGTAAAAGAACTGATACATTTGAGTTATGGTGTCGGTTGTTGTTGTTAGGTGCCATCGAGTTGATACCAACTCATAGCGACCTTATACACAGCAGAACGAAACATTACCTGATCCTGGGCCAATCTCACTACTGTCGCCACGCTTGAGTCCATCGATGCTACCACTTGGTCAAAATATTAAAAGTGCCATGGACTGCCAGAAGAACAAACCAATCTGTATTTGAAGACGTACAGACAGAATGCTTCTTAGAAGTCTGGATGGTGAGACTTCGTCTCTCATACTTCGGACAATTGTTAGGAGGAACCAGTCCGTGGAGAAGGACATCATTCTTGGTAAAGTGGAGTGTCACTGAAAAAGAGGAAGACCCTCACTGATACAGATTGGCATAGTGGTAGCAGCAATGGGCTAAAACATAACAATGATTGTGAGGTTGGCTCAGGACTGGGCAGTGTTTCATTTGGTTGTGCATAAGGTTTCTATGGGTCAGAACCGACTCGATGGTACCTAACAACAACAGCAACGTAAGCATGTGAAAGTTGGACAGTGAATAACTAGGATCGAACAAGCATCAATACATTTGAACTATGGTGTTGGCAAAAAATATTAAAAGTATGTGGGCTTTCAGAACAAAGAAATCTTCTTGGAAAAAGAATATTCAGAATATTCCTTAGAGACGAGGAAGGTGTGACTTCATCTCTCATACTTTGGACATGCTATCAGGAGTCTTTTACTTTTGACAGGAGTCTGGAGGAACCACCCTCGTCAAGCCAAGTTATGTCCTCTCACTCTCTCTCTAGGACAAATGCATGTCATCTCACTTCCCTGGGACTCATTTTCCTTAATGAGTCCCTTGGGAGAACTCTCACTCAGTGGCCAGGATGTGACCTCCATTTGGCTCCAGCTCCACCAGACTTTTCTAATGCAGAAATGTTCTCCTTAGTGTTTGAAGGGGCCACACATGAGCAATTTCACCTCCAGGAAGTTCTTGGTCAGTGAACAGAATGACAAAGTACTGAACCTGCTGGACCTGGCAGGGGTACATGAGCCAAAGAGAGAAAGTAGAAAAGCATGACCAGAAGAGAGAGGTGGGGACCTGGGTTAGCAGAATACAAGAGTGGGATTACACAGGCAGGGGCCTTGGGCTTGTTCTGGTTTATTGAAAGGGTCAAGCAGTTCAGAGCATGAGAAAGGCAGCATTACTGAAGACAGTCAGGATTTGTTGTCTTCATGCATCAGTCATAGGTACAGTTTCTGAGAAGTTAGAAAAAGCAAGAAGGTGGAGCCCAGCCCCCAACTCACAGTAAGTTCATGCAGACGTTCCCACAGAAGGTTGAACAACAGACATTATTTGCTTGACATTGTTGGTGAAACTCACAGTGGCGTTTACACAAATGTTTGCTTGGCCGCCTCTCACAGGCCTTGATTTCTCCGAATCCCTGTGGTTCTGAAATGGGGTGGGAGGTAGGGTCAGTGGAACCAGGTTCCTAGAAAGCATTTTGTTCTCAAGTTTGGCAGCGTCCTCCAACATCCCAGAACTCAATTTCGACTCACCACATTCAGAAAAATTTCTTTTCAGAAAAATCTCTTCCTGCCCCTTCAATTTCTATGGATTGTTTTTATTTAAAATCCTATGCTTGTTTCCCACCTCAATAGGCCTCCCAGTGCCTGGGTCCCCCTGGGTCCTCTCCCCACACCTGGTACCGGGCCCTGTCTCCTTATTAGCCATGGTCTTCATGAAGTCACTGCCATATAATTTATGCTCTGACCCAGAGAACTCAATGAAGACTGAGAGGGCCTCCCTGCTTCCCCTGGTCTCCAGAACTTCCAGGCTTCCAGAGAAAGAGAATGTGCTGTCCTCCCTCCCTTCTCCCATCCTGCTTCCAGAATTCCCACCAAGAAGTCACCACTTTCAGTCATTGTCCTACCACCACCAATGTTCTGGTCCCTCTGATGATAACTGGAACTTGATCCAACCAAACTAAATGGAAAACTCACTGTCATGAAGCTGATTCCAACTCATAGAGACCCTGTATAGGGTTTCTAAGGCAGTAAATCTTTGAGAACAGAAAGCCTCGTCTTTCTCATGAGGAGTGGCTGGTGGATTTGAACTCTCAACCTTGTGGTTAGCAGTCCACTACTTATCCTATAGTGCCACCAGGGCTTCTTGGAAACTTGGTCCAGTTGACACAAATTTTGTTTGTCAAATGCCCTTTCTCAGACCTACATCCATGTCGAGTATGTTCACCTCTCACAAATGTACATAAGTCAAAGACTATGTCTTCTACCATCTGACTCACTACGTGTGCACCATTTGTCCCCAGGATTGTGGAATGGAGGATAAAAATATGTACATTGCCCCCTTCCCCCCCAGCACTATTCTTAGGGTCACTGAAGGGGCTAGAAACTATGGGGTGGAAGGACCTTGTGTCCTTCATGGCCCGGGGTCAGAACTAAATGTGCTGAACTAAATTCCTGGATCGTCTTCAGACTGAGCACAGACCTCCTGCGTTCTCTTCATCCCCTCTCCTCTCCCATCACCTACTGGGCAGGATCCTCCCATGGCGGAAATGGAGCCCTCCTTGGGTCTGCAGCAATAGCAGCACACACAGGAGCAGGATGGGCAGCATGACTCTGACGGCAGCAGTCATCTTCTGAGAGTGTCCAGGAAATCACTGGACATCCCTGGAACTGCAGGGGGTGGAGACGGAGGCAAAGAAGTGAGAGAGCAGCACCCTGAACTTCCTGCTGTCCCCTCTGGTTAAATTAAGATAGTGCAAGACGCGTGGATGCACTCCCTGTCTGCCTGGCCTTTCTGTTCCATATCATGTCCTTTTCTGTGTGGGACTTAGGCTTTGTCAAAGGACAGCTACTTCTCTTGTGTACCTAACCCTCTTTTTTTTTTGGAAAGTTAGAAAATACTAATACACGCACACATGCACATGAGGGCAAGTCCAAAGGTATTGCTAATAGTGTTCCAGTTCCTACATGCATGGTTTTATTCCAAAGAAAACATGCTTAAACATGTCTCTGCAATCAGAGGATGGCTGTGGACAAGTTCTCTCAGTAATGCACTTGTGTTAGTCTCATTTGGGTGTCTTCCAAAAAAAAGATGTCACGGGAAAAAAGGATTTTGAGGTCAGGGTTAACTAATATCAATTTTTAAACAAAATTCAAGTAGACAATCTTTCCAAATCATTGAAGCTTTGTAACAAGTTCACGGCACTGCTGTCCCACATAAAACAAGAGTTTTGAGATGGATCAAGTATTTTATGGATCCTAGTACTTTAGTTTCCAGATAGTGACATTTCCTAACTTTTACTTTCCAGGTTTTCTTTATATCCACTTTTGAGAGATAACTAAGTTGAGAGTGAATGTTGGCATAGTGACCGTAGCAAAGAAGAATTATAGTTGAGAAGCTATTACTCCATAGAAGCTGTATTTCCCTGATTCAACCACCCTGCAATTAGTGTGGCAATGTAAATTCTATGGTTAGCAAGTTGAAGATAAGAGCCACTTGTCACTTCTCAGCCAAGGTCTTAAGGAGTTAGTAAATCTCCTTCATACTCTTTTTTTCCTCTACTAACTCAAAAGAGATGACAACAAAGTTCTAGAGCATGGTTGAGCCAAAAGACAGAAGGACCCTGGGTCCCTGAATCACCACATGGAAGAAAGCTCACCTATTGATATAGAAAACTTACCTTGAGTTACTGTGTGAACAAAAACTAAAACTCCTCTTAATTTCAGTCATTATATGATAGGGATTTTTTGTTACAAAGGTTTTAGTCTAAACTAACGAATAGCATACATTTTAGGAAGAACCAAACTTTTTTCTTTTGCAGCACCCATATTTTGAATCTACTGTATCACACAACCCCTGAAAGGTTGCCCCCACTTAGTAACTTTTCATTTAGTTAACTAAAATGGAAGCTGGAGTAACCTTCAGCCTTGGATACCAAATCTTGCCCTGGTATAATTTCACCATTCTTCCTAACCTTACCACTTTCCCCTATCTTAACATCAAAAGCACATGCAGTCGCTGACATTGGCCTTGGGAATTTGTATATGCACTCTGGCTTTCCATATCAAGGATGCCCAAAGACCCCATATGAATTTCCTCTGCCCCAGTAGGGAGTGGTGCTGGAAGCTTAAGGTGGGAAGGTTTTGTAGGTTAGGTAGTCCTGCTGGCAAAGCATCAGATCTGGTAATGAGGAAGCTGGGGTTGCTTGGTGGCATAGATTGGATGCTGGTACACCTGTGGTACAATAATGGTACTGCTGATACACCTGTACTGAGATCATTGTCCCCACTTGGTAAGACTGAGATAATAGAAACTCAAGTGAAACCTTGTTCAACTCCTGTAGTTTTGTATGATGACAAAGATGGTGGATTAACTACTGACAACTGGATGCTGTAAAAAATTCCCCTTAAGGGGAATCATATCTCGGGGAATAGACATTTTCTTTCCTTTTATAGATGGAAAGGTAGATATTTGATGTAAATCTAGTATTCCATGTGTATGTCAGTCATACTGTGTCCGTTTTGGTGTGCTTTCTTGTTTAATAACCAGAACCTGCTGCTCTATTGCATTAGACTGTCCTTGGGCTATCAGACATGGCTATGACCACAGATACTAAAAACCAGAATAGCTTTGGAATTTACAACCCTTCAGCACAATTATTACCCAAATAACCAAGAGGCTCAGGAGTATGAAAGCCCAATTCCCTCGCTTTGCATCAGAACAACTCTGCATTGAAACTTTCTCCTCACAGTTTCCCTGTGGACTCAGGTTAAGTGGTTCTCTGCAGCGTTTGACATGAGACCTCATCCTGGTTTGACTTTTCTCTCCTTTGCTATCATTATCATGCTTTACCCATTCCCCTACTTATTCTAAAATCCCCTGTGATCTTAGACTATGCCCATGGATTGTCACTTACATAAGAAGACTCAAGTGTAACTATTGTTGCTGTTGTTGTTAAGTGACATCAAGTCGGTTCCTTCTCATAGTAATGCTGTATAGGTTTCCAAGGAGTGGTTGGTGGGTTTGAACTGCTGACCTTGTGATTAGCAGTCCAGTGCTTATCTTACAGTGCCACACCAGGACTCCAATATAATCATTAAACTTTGAGAAATCAAGTATTATAAATTAAGTAACGTAAAGTGCTGGAGCCAACACAACTGCTGGAGCCAACACAACTGGGGCCAACTACCGTGTCTGACAATTGGCTTATCTCTGTGACCCGCACAGAAAGATTAAACCCAAGTAGGGGAGACGGGAGATGAGAAATAAAAGAAAGCTACAAGACACATTTGAAATATAGAATAGTTGGGAGCAGGTGAAAGTACTATGGAAGAATTGCAGCCAGAGTGCTCCTTGGAGGCCAAGATGGCCAAAGTTCGTCTCTCATACTTTGGACATATTGTCAGGAGGGACCAGTCACTGGAAAGGGATATCATGTTTGGTAAAGTGGAGGGTCAGAGAAAAAGAGGAAGACCCTGAGTGAGATGGATTGGCAAACTGGCAGCATCAATAGGCTCAAGCGTGGCAACAATTATGAGGTTGGCTCAAGACCGGGCAGTGTTTTGTTCTGTTGTGCATAGGGTCACTATGAGTCAGTACCAACTCGATGGCACCTAACGACATTGCTGTTGAGATGACTCTGACTCATGGAGACCCATGTGTGTCAGAGTAGAACTTCATGTCATAAGGTTTACAATGACTGTAATTTAAGGGCAGTAGATCACCAAGTCTTTCTTTGATGGCACCATTGGGGGGATTTGAACTGCCAACCTTTCAGTTAGTAGCTGAACACAAGTCATTTGTGCCACACCCTGCTGTCTTGATTTTGGTTGTTGTTGTTAATTGCTGTCAAGTTGGTTCCGACCCATAGTGACCCTGTATAGGGTTTCCAAGGAGCAGCTGGTGAGCTTGAGCCACCGACCTTGCAGTTCAAACAACTTTACAGTCTGATGCATTAGCCCACGCGCCACACCAGGACTCCTGATTTAGGTTAGGATAACTTAATATTTTAAAGATGTCAGCTCCTCATACTTATTTCTATCCAATGTTATTTCATCCAAAATCTTTGAAAATGATTTAAGAAAACCAGTTGGATTCTCCCATGAAATGTCGGAATGAGAGACTAGATGATGTCAGGATCCTTGATGCCCTCTTTTGAGCTACTGCTTCCATAGGTGTAGGTCAAGTTCATCAAATTGTATGAGAATACTTTTTTTTTTTTCTTTCCCTCTTCTTTTTATTTCTGGTTGAGTTCTGATCAGCCAGTCATTGAAGCCAGGACAAGTGGGGATTCCATTGGTACCGGGTGGGAGTGGGGGAAGAAAGCAGAGCCCCATCCACAGCATTTCTGTTTCTTCACAACACAGCACAAGTAGCAGAATAGCAAATTATTCCCATGTAGAGTGATCCACGTAGTGAGAAACTTGCCCAGATTTACCCAGAAAGTCCCCCATTCAGGATACTCCATAGTCTCAGACAAACTGGGATGGTGGAAAAGAAAAGTTAGTTGTTAGGTGTTGTCCAGTTGGCTTTAACAGAATGAAACACTGCCGGGTCCGGTTCCAGCCTCACAATAGTTATGTTGGACACTATTGTTGTAGCCACTGTGCCAATCCATCTAGTTGGGGGTCTTCTTTTTCAACTACCGTCCACTTTATCAAGCATGCGGTCCTTTTTTAGGGATTGGTCTCTCCTGATAACATGTCCAAAGTACAAGATACAAAGTCTCACCATCCTTGATAATAAGGAGTATTCTGACTGCATTTCTTCCAAGATAGATTCCTGTGTTCTTCTTGCAGTCCGTGGTACTTTCAATATTGTTCTCCAACACTATAGCTTGAATGCATTCGTTCTCTTCCAGTCATTCTTATTCATTGTCCAGTTTTCACATGCATATTAGATTTTTGGAAATACCACGACTTGGGTCAAGCTTACCTTGATCTTCAAAATGACATCTATGCTCTTGGACACTTTAAAGAGGTCTTTTTGCAGCAGATTTGCCCAGTGCAATGTGTTATTTGATTTCTCACTGCTGCTTCCATGAGCGTCGGTTCTTGATCATATGTTACCTCTTGAAATGGTTGAAGTGACTGTGTATTCCTTCCATTTTCTTTCTTTCTTTTTTTTTTCTTAAATGTTTATTGTGAATTATGTGATAGTTTACATGGGAGAACATTATTAGTTTTGCATTCATTCTATCGTATATCATCTCATTGCCATGGTTACAATCCCCTTCATGCAATCCTTCCCCTGTGCCCCCCAGGTCTTCAGCACAC